GCTGGTCAGGGTCAGCCTCCGCATTTGGCCCAGGCCTGGCTGGTCAGGGTCAGCCTCCGCATATGGCCCAGGCCTGGCTGGTCAGGGTCAGCCTCTGCATGGCCAGGCCTATGGGGCTCCCTGTCCTCCCAACTCCAAGGTGGCCTCTAGGAACCAGCATGTGGAGCCTTAGCAGTAAGTACTGACAGGTGTAAGAGCTGAAGCTCCAAACCCCATAAGGGCCTTAAAATTCAGAACGGAGGTGTTGAATGCGCCAGTGAGATGCCCCCAATGTGCAAACAAGGGCACTTGAGATCTGAGGGGTCTCTCTGGCCACTCACCTGCAGTGTATGCAGGCCCAGGGGCACTGGCATTTGGTTGGAGGGACCAGAGCAGCTGAACTGGGTGGCAGGGGTGGAGTGGGTCTGAACCGCTCCCCTGGGCCGGCCTTGGCAGGTACCTGCCCACTTGCCAGAGCAGCTAGCTGCTGGCCTCAATGACTGACAGAGCCACAAGCTCAAAGTATAGGGGCAACAAGTCTCCAGGGACGCTTCTCTGCCAATGCGCTCACCTCTGGGGACTCATCCTGAGAGTCAGTCTCCCCTTAGGGCCTCTGTCTCCCCATCTAGAGCACAGATCTCCGAGAGTAGGGCTGGGAGAAGTTCCTCTGGGGTCTGGGCAGGCCTACCCAGGGGCAGTGCCCAGTGAGAGCCAAGTCATGGAGGAAGGAAGGGTCGGATGCTCATCATGAGACAAGGCTGTCTTCCCGACCTCTCCAGAGCCGATGCACCTGCAAGCTGGGCTTTGCTGGGGACGGCTACCAGTGCAGTCCCATCGACCCCTGCCGGGCAGGCAATGGTGGCTGCCATGGCCTGGTAAGGGTGCAAGGCTCAGAGCCCTGGGGAGGCTTTCTGGGTGGGCCTGGGCTATAGTTCTCCCTCCCTCCCCATCTCTGGGTGTCTCTCTGTATCCTGTCAGGATGAAGAGCTTTCTAAACTTCAAATCCAACCATGTCACTCCTCTTCCCCTTCACCCCTCCTTACTAAGGTCCCACTCCTGCCCAGCCTCCTCTCTCTGTTCCACTCCTGCCCCTGTTCCACGGTCCTTGGCTGTGCTGAACTACTCGCTGTCCCCTGCCCTTGCTCCACCCCACCATACCCCTGCCTCTACGAGCCGCACCTGGGCCTGGCTAGCTCCTGCTCTCAGCTTGGGCTCCTGAGAGTGCACGGCCTCCTGGGTGCTCCCACAGCCCTGGGGTCCCTAGCACTCACCTGGCATGGGTAATGCTCATGTCAGATACCGAGTGATCCTGGGTGGCAGGGCTAGGCACACCGAAGGAGTGCCACCAACACAGACCGAGTGGCTGCAGAACAAGGGGTGGGGCTGAGGCTGGGGCTGGGGCTGGGGCTGGGTGGCTGGATAGGCAGAGAGATGCGGGAGGGAGGGCCCAGCTGCCATCTGGGTCTGAATGGAGGCCCTTTCTCACTCCCACTGCAGGCCACCTGCCGGGCAGTGGGGGGAGGTCAGCGGGTCTGCACATGCCCCCCTGGCTTTGGGGGTGATGGTCTCAGCTGTTACGGAGACATCTTCCAGGTAAGAGGTGCTCAGGAACATTTTCTGTCTTCCCCGTGCTTGGCTGGGGAGGAGCCCTCTCCAGCACCTCAGGCGGGAAAGGGGCACTGCTCAGGACCCGTGGTGGGGAAGGGGCCTGAATTTGCCTTTGGTCTTGTGACCTCAGCCTTTTCCCTTCCCTTAGGAGCTGGAGGCAAATGCCCACTTCTCCGTCTTCTACCAGTGGTTCAAGGTAGGACAGGGCAAAATTCTGGGGTAGGGGGCACAAATCCAGGAGGCCTGCCTGGATGGAGGGGTGCCATATAACATCTCCAAGAGCAGGAGGTTGGGGGCAGGTCTGGAGCCTAGAGCAGGGGATCTGAAGATGGTGGCTGCCTTCGTCACTCCCACCCTGCTCCCTGTGTGTGTGCAGAGTGCCGGCATCACGCTTCCTGCCGACCGCCAAGTCACAGCCCTGGTGCCCTCTGAGGCTGCCGTCAGTCGGCTGAGCCCCGAGGACCAAGCTTTCTGGCTGCAGCCACGGATGCTGCCGAACCTGGTCAGGTGGGACCACCATTGCCAGGCTGCAGGAGGGGCTTCCTGCAGGACCCCGCCCCTCCCCGGCAAGTCCTCAGCCTGGCAGGCGCTTACCCACTGGGATGGGCCCAGTACCAAAGGTCTCTGTAACTTACGCTAACTGATTCCATGACCCTCCCAAACTGTGCCCCCTCCAGGGCCCATTTTCTCCAGGGTGCCTTCTTCGAGAAGGAGCTAGCCCGGCTGCATGGGCAGGAAGCGGCCACCCTGGACCCCAGCACACACTGGGAGATTCGCAACATTAGTGGGGTATGTGGTGAACCCTGGGCCACAAAGGGACCAGGTGGTGCATGGGAGGGAGCCCCAGTGGCTGCAGGCTCTCCCACACCAGGGATGAGATTGGGGTCCCATCGCCCTGCCCAGAGCTGGGCTCAGAGGACGTGCTCAGGACACATTGCTGATGGGCGCTGAGTCTCTGGGCCAAGAGTGACTGGCTGCTGGGGGCCATCTGTCCATCTGAGCTGCCCATGCACACCCACCCTTCTCGTTACATGCCCTGTGGAGTCTGTGTGCTTAGCTGGTGGATCCTGAGTCTGACTCGGGATCAGAGTCGGCTCCTGGGAGGAGCTTCTGTGCAGGACCCAGCCTCTGGGCCACCCTGGGGACCACCTGTGGGTGCCTGTGTGCCTGGCAGGCTCTCTGTTGGGGCTGCCCCACCTTTAAGGGTCTATCTGTGCCCACCTGTGGCTGAGCTCTCCTGCTGCCTTCCAGAGGGTCTGGGTGCAGAATGCCAGCGTGGACGTGGCTGACCTCCTTGCCACCAACGGTGTCCTACACATCATCAGCCAGGTATGGCTGGAGGAGGGTGTGCTCAGGGAACCTTGCAGGCAGGCCATGAAGCAGTGACAGGCTGACCAGGCTCCTGTGCCCTGTACCAGGTCTTGCTGCCCCCTCGAGCGGATGTGCCTGGTGTGCAGGGGTTGCTGCAGCAGTTGGACTTGGTGCCTGCCTTCAGCCTCTTCCGGGACTTGCTGCAGGTAAGGAAGGCTGGCAAGAGGGGACATGCCTGCTCACAGGGCACTGTGCCCCAGGTCCAGAGGGAGCTGGCGGGCTCCCAGGGTCAAGACTGACAACTAATATGCCCATTTCTGACCTCCACCCCATCCCTAGCACCATAGGTTGGTTCCTCAGATTGAGGCTGCCACTGCCTACACCATCTTCGTGCCCACCAACCACTCCCTGGAGGCCCAGGGCAACAGCAGCCGCCTGGTGAGGCCATGGAGATGTGGCAATGGCAGGGGGGCAAAGGCACAGAGGGCAAGCCTCCCATCCCACCACGAAGGGACGCAGTGGGTGTGGCGGTCTGTCCAGGGCACTTGGTTATCCTGGGGTCCCCTGAGCTTTCTCTTTCCCTCCCAGGACGCAGACACAGTGCGGCACCATGTGATCCTGGGGGAGGCCCTCTCCATGGAAGCCCTGGGGAAGGGTGGACACCGCAACTCCCTCCTGGGCCCTGCCCATTGGATTGTCTTCTACAACCACAGCGGCCAGGTTTGGGGGGCAGGGAGCAGGGAGACCCTAGCCTGGGCTCCTACTCCTGAAGATCTCTTCCTTCCCTTTGGAGTTTCCTCAGCTGGGAGCCTCTAATCTCTGCTCCGGGGAGCCACCCGGCCCTGGAGTACCGCCTGACCTTACAGCCCCGCCTGGTGAGGGTGGTGGGAGGGTGGATTCAGCTTCCATCTCTCTCCCCAGCCTGAGGTAAACCATGTACCGCTGGAAGGCCCCATGCTGGAGGCCCCCGGCCGCTCGCTGATCGGCCTGTCGGGGGTCCTGACAGTGGGCTCAAGCCGCTGCCTGCATAGCCACGCTGAGGCCCTGCGGGTGAGGGGCTGGGGCCACGGGAGGGCTGGCAGGGGGGTTCAGGGCTGGGAGCTGCTGGCTGGCCTGACTGGAGGAGCACATGGTCAGGGTGTCCTGGAGGAACGGCAGGGGTCCAGCCCTGGATTGCCTGATGCCCCACCCGTTTTTGCCTAGGAGAAATGCGTAAACTGCACCAGGAAATTCCGCTGCACTCAGGGCTACCAGCTGCAGGTGAGACTGGCTTAGCGCAGCTCTGCCCCTGTGCTGCCTGCCCTCACTTCTGCCAGGGTGCCTGATCCCCTTACCTTCCAGCCCAGCTCTGCTTGGCCCAGGCATCCAGGCACAGGGAACTGGGTGGCAGACATCCCCATAGAGGCCTGGAGGGCTGGTCTGCTCTTCTTAGAAGACTCCCTCAGACTTGCAGCCTGAGGCTTGGATTCTGTCTGTCCTCTCCCATCGGTCAGTCTGTCTTGGTCCCTCCCTGACCCTTCTGCTGTCCTGCTCATCTGCCTGATACCTGTAGTCCATGTGTCTGTCTCACTGTTCACTGCCCTGCCCCTGCCCAAGCCACTGGCTGACTCCTGCCTGTCACCATTTCCAGGACACGCCCAGGAAAAGCTGTATCTACCGATCTGGCTTCTCCTTTGCCCGGGGCTGCTCTTACACATGTGCCAAGAAGATCCAGGTTTGCCCTGAAGCCCCCACCCCAAGCCTGTCCAGAGAGAGGGAGGTGGGAGTTGGGGAGGACCAGGGAGGAGCCCAGTTGGGATCTTAAGGGCAGAGGCTGGGCTGGGACTAGGTTGAGGCCAGAACCCAGATAAAGGAGAGGGGAGAGGGGTTTGAAGTCAGAGGACGAGTGTTTGTCCCTGTATCTGCTCCCCCAGGGAGCGGGGGGAGCGGAGACAGGGAGAGGAAGAAAGGGCAGTCCGGAGCTGGCTCCATCAGCCAAAGTCCAGGGGCAGCAACTGGGCCTGCTTGGCCCCTCACTGTGGGATCTGGGTGCAGCCCCTCCCTACTTGAGCCTCAGTTTCCCCACCTTGCCAGAGGGAGGGTTTTAGGAGACATCTCTGTGTCTCTCTTGGCTCTGACCTGCTCATCTCTGGGTCTGGGGTTCCAAGGGGCTTTGCTCCATGGCTCTGTGGCCCTGAGATGCCTCCGTTCCCCTTCCCCCCTGACATCCGTACTCGGCCTCTCTCACCCTCTCTCCCACACCCCCTCCAACAGGTGCCAGACTGCTGTCCTGGCTTCTTTGGCACGCTGTGTGAGCCATGCCCAGGGGGCCTGGGGGGTGTGTGCTCAGGCCACGGGCAGTGCCAGGACAGGTTCCTGGGCAGCGGGGAGTGCCGCTGCCATGAGGGCTTCCACGGAACAGCCTGTGAGATGTGTGAGCTGGGCCGCTATGGACCCAACTGCACCGGAGGTGAGGACAGGAGGGGCAGGGGTGGGTTCCTGGCAGCAGAGAGCAGCCTGGAGACCCCAGCCAGGACAGGATAGAGGCACTGGGTAACTCCTGTCCTCCTTCGTCCCATTGCAGTGTGTGACTGTGCCCATGGGCTGTGCCAGGAGGGGCTGCAAGGGGACGGAAGCTGTGTCTGTAACGTGGGCTGGCAGGGCCTCCGCTGTGACCAGAGTGAGTGGGTCCCCAGGGGGAGGGGGCAGGTGGCTACTGAGGAGGCAGTTCCTGAGTCTGAATGACCAGAGTCATCCTCTTGCCCCCCAGAAATCGCCAGCCCTCAGTGCCCTAGGAAGTGTGACCCCAATGCCAAGTGAGTGGGCCCAGTCTGGGACAGGTGGGTGAGTGGCGGGGGCCCTGGGGGTCAAGGCATGGCTGAACAGGCATGGGCTGAGCCACTGCCACTCCTCCCAGCTGCGTGCAGGACTCGGCCGGAGCCCCCACCTGTGTCTGCGCCGCAGGATACTCTGGCAGTGGCACCTTCTGCTCAGGTCCAGCCACATGGATACCCGGATCCCTCCCTGAAGTTTTGGGGTGGCTGTCCCCACAGAGCCCCTTCACTCCCTCTAGGCCCAGCTGTTCTCACTGTCCCATCTCGGGCCTCACCCTTCCCTCTGACTTTTTCCTTTCTCTCACGCCCTCCTCTCCTGTCCCCTCCGGCCCGTGCCTGCTCCTTACGACTTTCTGGGACCATCTCCTCTAGAGGTGGACCCCTGTGCCCATGGCCACGGGGGCTGCTCCCCCCATGCCAACTGTACCAAGGTGGCACCTGGGCAGCGGACATGCACCTGCCAGGATGGCTACACGGGCGATGGGGAGCTGTGCCAGGGTGAGACTGGGCCCCCAACCTGGGTTGTATGTGGGGCTAGGGGTCTGGCTTCAGTGATCCCAGTCAGACTAGGAAAGGCTGAGGGGCATGGGAACATGGGGGGACTGGGGGTGCTGAGAGAGGAGGGGTGGGATCTGAAGGTACAGAGGACAGATGAAGGGGGGGGGGCTGCTGCTAAGGGCCACCCCCATCCCAGTGTCTCTTCCCTCAGAAATTAACAGCTGTCTCATCCACCACGGGGGCTGCCACATTCACGCCGAGTGCATTCCCACAGGCCCCCAGCAGGTCAGCATGGCAGGGGTGGACATGAGGGCCAGGCCGTGCCCTCACAGGGTAGGGCCTCCCTTCAGGGCAGGCCTGGGGAGGGGTGACCCTTTTACCCGGGGTGCTGGACAACTGTTGGCTCCCAGCAGCCCCACTGATCGAAACTGGGGACAGGTCTCCTGCAGCTGCCTCGAGGGCTACAGTGGGGATGGCATCCGGACCTGCGACCTCCTGGACCCCTGCTCTAAGGTTGGGCCCCTAGTCCTGACCTCCTTCACAGGGAGAGGGGACTGAGGCAGGGACCAGCCCTCCTCACTTCCAGCAGGGTCCTAAGAGCTTCTGCAGGGTGGGCCATCCTCCCCTCCAGCTCGAGTTTGATCAGTGGGAAAGAGGATGTGAGGGGCTGAGAAGGGGCCTTCATGCCTCTTTCACAGGGCTGGGTGGAATAGAGAAGTCCCGGAAGCCACTGATACCTTCTTCTCTTGTCCCTGCCTCAGAACAATGGAGGTTGCAGCCCTTATGCCATGTGCAAAAGCACAGGGGATGGCCAGAGGACCTGTACCTGTGACACAGCTCACACCGTGGGGGACGGCCTCACCTGCCGCACCCGAGTTGGCCTGGTAATGATGCCCAAGTCAGACCCCTGATCTGGTCTTGGCTGTGCCCCATGGGCCTGACCCATGGTCTTGGCGAAGACCTGATCCTGATCCTGGCCCTGACCATGACCCTTAGCCTGAACCCTGACTGTACATGGGCCTGACCCCAGCTATGACCCATGAAACTAGCCCTGACCCCAACTCAGACCCCCCCGGCTTTCCTTCCCTCATGTCTGCCTTGGCTAGACCTTGGGGCGCACGCAGGTGCTGGGACAGGCACCAGGCCCTGAATGGGGGCCGCCCCAAATCTGAGCTGACCCTCGCCCCCTCAGGAGCTCCAGAAGGATAAGCATGCCTCATTCTTCAGCCTCCGTCTCCTGGTGAGTGGCCAGCCTGGGCCTCTGTGACATACAAGTCCCACCCCTCTTTGGGCTTCTGTTCCCATCTTGTCAGGGGGTTGGCTGGTTTGCTCTCTCTGAGTTCAAGTCCTCCCCAGGAGATCCATGGAGGCTGCAGGCTGCTCCCCTTCCATTCATGCCGTTACCCCCTCCCGCAGGAATACAAGGAGCTCAAGGGCGATGGGCCTTTCACCATCTTCGTGCCGCACGCCTCTCTAACGAGCAACCTGTCGCAGGTACGCAGCCCCCAGAGCCAGGCTGGGCAGGGCTGGGCGCTCCGGTGGCAGCCCTGCATAGGCTGGGGGAGCAGTCAAGGACCCCACTCCCCTCGCGACTCTGCTCCAGGATGAGCTGGCCCGGATTCGCGCGCATCGCCAGCTGGTGTTTCGCTACCACGTGATTGGCTGCCGGCGACTGCGGAGCGAGGATCTGCTGGAGCAGGGGTACGCTACGGCGCTCTCGGGGCACACACTGCGCTTCAGCGAGAGGGAGGTGAGCCCCAGCTCTGGCCTGCCCCGCCCCGCCCACCCCCCACTGCACGCCTGTGCCTGGCCCTCACCGACGCGATCCGGACCCTCACCTCCCCCAGCTAGGGGGCGTCTCCAAGAGAGGGAGCTGAGTCCAGGCCGGGACCCCACCTACGATCTGTGCCTCGCCCACTACGGTGGGCCTGTCCAGCCCAGAGCCCTCGGGTGCTTCTGAGAACAGAGCCCCGCCCCCTGCCGTGACTCTGCCCCCTGCCGTGACTCTGCCCTGGATCCCGCCCACCTCCAGTCCTGGTCTCGAACCCGGGACTGCCTGCACCCTAAGACTCGCCCAACCCAGGCTCCGCCCCATCTCAGGCCCCGGCAGCTTCCGAGCACCCCACCCATCGGCTTCATCAGCCCCGTGCCCCGCCCCCAGGGCAGCATATACCTCAACGACTTCGCGCGTGTGGTGAGCAGCGACCATGAGGCTGTGAACGGCATCCTGCACTTCATCGACCGTGTCCTGCTGCCCCCCGAGGCGCTGCACTGGGAGCCGGGTGATGCCCCGGTCCTGAGGGTATGACAGGCACAGGCCTAGGAGCTGGAAGGCAGGCAGCTGGGGGCCTAGGATCCTCCCTTCCCGCCTAGCCTAGCATCCTCCCTTCCCGCCTGGCCTAGCTGTTTATCAGTGCCTTTCCCCAGAGAAACGTCACCGCCGCTGCCCAGAGCTTTGGTTACAAGATCGTCAGTAGCCTCCTGAAGGTACTGGTGGGCGTGTCATTTTGAGCATATATGCACATGTACACTTGTGCACATGTGTATGCGTACCTATGCCCCAAAGCCTGGGCAGACACTTGTGCGAGTATATGTGCGTACCTATGCTCCAAAGCCTGGCCAGGGACTGCCACTGAGGTTGGGTCACACCACCTGTGTGCAGACTGTCCTGTGTGAGCCTGTATGTATGAACTCACGTGTGTACAGGCCACATCTGTGTGCATGAGCCCCACAGGGTGAGCACAGGGGTGTGCTAAGTGTGTGCTGCATTCCCGATAGCAGTGTGCACGGCTGAGATGTGTGCATGCTCGTGCCTGCCTGGGATGGCCACAGATGAGTGTGGGTGCCTCTGGAGCCCCTTCCGCTCTGTGGCACAGCCCCCTGCCTTGGCTCACTAGTCTCTGACTGGACTGCAACTGCCGCATCTTTGCTGCACCCCACCAGATGGCTGGTCTCCTGCCCCTGCTTCGAGACCCATCCCATAGGCCCTTCACAATGCTGTGGCCCACAGACGCCGCCTTGCAAGCCCTGCCTCTGGAACGCCAGGCCTGGCTGTACCATGAGGACCACCGTGACAAGCTAGCAGCCATTCTGCGGGGACACATAATCCGCAATGTCGAGGTGGGTGCAGCCCCCAGCCTTGGCCTCGCTGTCTGCAGCTCAGCCTGCCTCTCCGTCTCCAACCATGACTCCACCTGCTAGGCCTTGGCATCTGACCTGCCCAATCTGGGCCCACTTCGAACTATGCATGGGACCCCCATCTCTTTCTCCTGCAGCCGAATGCGGCCCGTGAGTCTGTGGAAAGGGCTTGGATGAGGGGAGTAGGAGGCAGGGGCCCTGGCAGTGGGGGCTGGAGTGTACCTGTGGCCCTCGAGTACCTCACATTCTCCCCTTGCAGGGTGAGCTCATGGTGGGTGAGGATGATGCCCACATTGTGCAGCGTCACTTGCCCTTTGAGGGTGGCCTGGCCTACGGCATCGACCAGCTGCTGGAGCCACCTGGCCTTGGTGCTCGCTGTGACCGCTTTGAGACCCGGGCCCTGCGACTGGTGAGGGAGGCCAGAGGCAGATGGGCGGGAGGCCACCCTGTCTGTGGTGTCCATCCACCTGACTTTGCTGTCTTGGCCTCCCTCCCTTCCAGAACATTTGCAGCATCTGTGGGCTGGAGCCACCCTGTCCTCAGGGGTCACAGGAGCAGGTAGAGAGATGGGGGCTGAGGGAATGGGGTGGGGGATGGATTGGGGGTGGGCAGAACCCAAGGACCACCAAACTCAGAACCACCAAACTGCGGCCTCAATCCTTCGGCCCAGGGCAGACCTGAGGCCTGCTGGCGCTTATCCTCGAAGTTTTGGACGTCCCCTTCGCTGCACTCTTTGGGACTACGCAGCGTCTGGGTCCAGCCCAATCTTTGGGGTCGGCCCCAAAGCCTGGGCAGGGGCTGCCACCGCAATTGTGTCACCACCACCTGGAAACCCAGCTGCTGCCCTGGTCACTATGGCAGTGAGTGCCAAGGTGAGCCCTGAGACACTGTTGACCTGCACCTCTATTCCCCAAGAGAGCCAAGGTACAGCTCTGGCCATTGTCCCTGAGAGAGTTCTGGGTGGTTAGATTTTACTAGTGGGAGTGCTGGGAGAGGGCAGGGCCGGAGAGTGGACGGTGCAGAACCTGGGGAGCAGTGCTGGGGGATCTTGATGTTCTCCGGGACACAGGCCTGGAGGGATCTTAGCAGTGTGGGCATGTGGGTCAGGGACAGATGGCAGTGCTAGGCTGGAGGTACATGTACAGGGATCCTGGTGAGAGCCCCTGGCCCCGCCTCACTTCTCCCACCCTATCCCCCAGCTTGCCCTGGCGGCCCCAACAGCCCTTGTAGTGACCATGGCGTGTGCATGGATGGCATGAGTGGCAGTGGCCAGTGTCTGTGCCGTTCAGGTTTCGTGGGGACAGCCTGTGAACTCTGTGCTCCCGGCGCCTTTGGGCCCCATTGTCAAGGTGGGCCATCCCCCGCCCCACCCCACACCCCGTTACTTTGGCCCCTGTGGGCTAATCTTTATCTTCCCGCCGACCCTTTCCCCAGCCTGCCTCTGCACTGTGCATGGCCGCTGTGATGAGGGCCTTGGGGGCTCTGGCTCCTGCTTCTGTGATGAGGGCTGGACTGGGCCACGCTGTGAGGTGCAACTGGGTGAGTAGCCCACGCTGCACACTTATGTACATGTGCACACATCAGTAAAAACACTAAGGGTGGGTGGAACAGGCGGAGGCCAAGAAGGCAACTACTAATCTGATTCTGGGGCTGGGCCCTGGGGGGCAGAGCTGCAGCCCGTGTGCACCCCACCCTGTGCCCCTGAGGCCGTGTGCCGTGCAGGGAACAGCTGCGAGTGCAGCCTGGGCTACGAAGGGGACGGCCGCATGTGTACAGGTAGGCAGGTGGGCAGGGACATGGAGGTGGGAGGCCCCCACTCCCCTGCAGCCACCGGGTCCAACCACTCCTTCCCTGCCCTCAGTGGCAGACCTGTGCCAGGATGGGCATGGTGGTTGCAGTGAGCATGCCAACTGCAGCCAGGTGGGAACAGTGGTCATTTGTACCTGCCTGCCCAACTACGAGGGCGATGGCTGGAGCTGCCGCGCCCGCAACCCCTGCACAGATGGCCACCGTGGGGGCTGCAGCGAGCATGCCGACTGCCTGAGCACCGGCCTGGTGAGCAGGTGGGGGAGCTGAGCAGCCAGGGTGGGGAGGCCCAGCAGGCCTTTCGGCCTCTGAAGGGCACCCACTGCTCTCCCCAACCCAGAACACACGGCGCTGTGAGTGCCATGCAGGCTACGTGGGTGATGGACTGCAGTGTCTGGAGGAGTCGGAACCACCTGTGGACCGCTGCCTGGGCCAGCCACCACCCTGCCACTCAGATGCCGTGTGCACTGACCTGCACTTCCAGGGTGTGTCCCCTGCCCATTCCCAATACCCCTGTTTCATCCCTCAGAGCCAGCCCGCTGACTGTGCACACCTCCCTTCTGCAGAGAAACGGGCTGGCGTCTTCCACCTCCAGGCCACCAGCGGCCCTTATGGTCTGAACTTTTCCGAGGCTGAGGCAGCATGTGAAGCCCAGGGAGCTGTCCTTGCGTCATTCCCTCAGCTCTCTGCTGCCCAGCAGGTATGTAGGGCCCAGAAGTTGGGGCCAAGCCTTTGGGGGAGGCCTTAACTGGGTCTTAGGGTCTCAGCATCCCCTCTTGTTCCTACAGCTGGGCTTCCACCTGTGCCTCATGGGCTGGCTGGCCAACGGCTCTGCTGCCCACCCTGTGGTTTTCCCTACGGCGGACTGTGGCAGTGGTCGGGTGGGCATAGTCAGCCTGGGTGCTCGAAAGAACCTCTCGGAGCGCTGGGACGCCTACTGCTTTCGCGTGCAAGGTGCGTCCACCCGACCAAACCCTACTTCCCCAGCTCTGCCCCTTCCCACCAATCCACTGAGCCACTGACCTGCCTTTCCTGCAGATGTGGCCTGCCAATGCCGAGACGGCTTCGTGGGGGATGGGATCAGCACGTGCAACGGGAAGCTGCTGGATGTGCTGGCTGCCACTGCCAACTTCTCCACTTTCTATGGGGTGTGTGGGGCCCAGCCTTGGGGATGGGGGGGTGCAGAGCAGCAAGTGTCCCCGAGGAGGGAGCCTGCTCACAGCTCTGCCTCTCCTCCAAGCCAGATGCTGCTGGGCTATGCCAATGCCACCCAGCGTGGTCTCGACTTCCTGGACTTCCTGCAGGACGAGCTCACCTATAAGACGCTATTCGTCCCTGTCAATGAAGGCTTTGTGGACAACATGGTAACCAGCAGGGATGTGGGGAGACCAGAGTCCGAGTCAGCTGTCTCCAGCTGGTCCAGGCTAACAGGCCTTGCTCTGCCCACAGACGCTGAGTGGCCCAGACCTGGAGCTGCATGCCTCCAACACCACCTTCCTAAGTGCCAACGCCAGCCAGGGGAAGTTGCTTCTGGCCCATTCAGGCCTCAGCCTCATCATCAGTGACGTGGGCCCTGACAACAGTTCCTGGGCCCCTGTGGTGAGTGTGGCCACTGTCCCACCCTGCTGGCGCTGGCCCTCACTGTGGGGCCTGACGCTGGTCTCCCTGCAGGCCCCAGGGACAGTTGTGGTTAGCCATGTCATCATGTGGGACATCATGGCCTTCAATGGCATCATCCATGCTCTGGCCAGCCCTCTCCTGGCACCTCCACAGCCCGTGAGTTGGGGAAGGGGGAGGCAGAGCCTTTCCTGCCCCCCACCACAACCTGTGAATCTGGGGAACGGGGTGGGACAGCTCCCACCAGGACCTCAACACATTCCCTGTTTATAGTGGGCGGTGCTGGCACCTGAGGCCCCACCTGTGGCAGCAGGTGTGGGGGCTGTGCTTGCCGCTGGAGCCTTGCTCAGCCTGGTGGCCGGAGCCCTCTACCTCCGTACCCGAGGCAAGCCCACTGGCTTTGGCTTCTCTGCCTTCCAGGTAGGGCTGGGTTGGGGCTGCCATGGCAGGTACTTGGATCTCACTCAAGGAGCCTCACCACTCACTCACCCCTCTGCTGCTCACAGGCGGAAGATGATGCTGACGATGACTTCTCACCATGGCAAGAAGGGACCAACCCCACCCTGGTCTCTGTCCCCAACCCTATCTTTGGCAGCCATGACGCCTTTTGTGAACCCTTTGATGTGAGCGTGGAAGTGTGGCGGATGTGGGATGGGTCCAGGCCCTAGTCACGCCCACCACCAACAGCCCTGCTCTCCTAGGACTCACTCTTAGAGGAAGATTTCCCTGACACCCAGAGGATCCTCACAGTCAAGTGACGAGGCTGGGGCCGAAAGCAGAGGCACATGCAGGGAGGAGAGCATTTCTATTGCTTGTCTGGGTGGATGCCCTGGGTAGACGGGGCAGGAAGGGTAGGGGGGAGCCTGTCCGGGACAATAAAGGTGCCCTCAGCGGATGTGAGCCATGTCGCCGAGGAAGGGGGTCTTCATGCAGCCCGTGCAGAGCTGGTCCATCCAGAGCGGGGCCTCATGCTGCAGGGGTGTGCGGCGTGGGTAGAAGGTGAAGTCCACGCGGTAGTTGAGCAGGCAGCTGAGGGAGGCCATGTAGAGGTCAGAGAAGCGCACGAGGCGCCTCGAGAAGTAGGTGGGGTTGTGGAAAGTGCGGAAGATGCTGCCGAACTGTGCGTTGAACAGGGCCTTGGTGATGCACCTGATGAAGGAGACAGGGTGTGCTCGAAGGGTGGGCCCGGGGTGGTGGCTTGGCTGGGACGCCTGCCCTCGCCCCACATGCTCACCTCAGCTCCTGCCGCTCTTTCATCCAGGCAGCTAGCACCTGCCTTGACTCCGCGTCCTGATAGGTCTGGGGACACCGGGTGTGCGTTGGGCGTGTGCACCCAGGAGGCTACAGGCCTGGCCCTCCCACAGCCACCCCGGCCTGCACCTGCATGCGCTCCAGCAGCCCTGTGAGCGCCTGCTGCCACGTCAGCGAGTGCATGTACTGCTCCGTGTTGATGATGCGGATCTCACGCTCCAGCTCGGGGATGATGGCGCCCGTGCGCCAGCCATGCCGCAGCATGAGATCCTGGTGGGTGGGGCAGCGGAACTGGGCTGAGCACCAGTTGGTGGGGGGTGTTCCCGGTCCTCCCCACCTGTAGCCCAGCCCTGCTTCCCTCACCGCCAGGTCACTATAGAGGTGGTCCCCGAAGTAGAGCACGCGGGGGCCACGCCATTCCGTCAAGCGTAGGAAGTCAAACAGGTTTCCCTGGGGAGAGAGGGGAATGCTGCTGAGCCAAGTGCCTTGTCCTCCCCCAGTTCTCCCTCCCGAATCCCAGATCCAGCTGGATGCTGGCTGCCCTTTCCCGTGGCCTTGCTGCTCCCTCCCTGGGCCCTTTCCCCTCCTACTTGGGAAGGGGAATCTGCCTGCCACAGGAAGGTACCCTGTAGGCTGATGTGGTACCCATGCCTCCAGGGGTCCTCCCTGTGGTCTCATACATATGCCAGGCTAGGGATTGAGACCCTGTTTATAAGAAAATAACTGTAGGGAAGACTTCACAGCCCTGAACTCCTTGCTGGTTTTCCCTGCCTCAGCACAGAGGGACCCAGCAGAACCATGGCAGACCTCACCAGGGCCACCAATGTCTTGGAGCTGTAGAAATCTGGAGACACTCAGCCAGGCCCACACGTAACTGGGGAAGCTCACACGGCAGCAGAAACTGAGGGGCCCAGAGCAGAGAGCAGGAATCACCAGACCAGTGCTCAGGCTGCAGCCACCAGAGCAGGAGTCCACACCCCAAAAGTGAGAGGAATTTACACCCAGGAACAACAGTTCAGAGCAGTCTGCATCCAAAGCCTTAGAAGTGGAAGTGCTGGGGGAAACAGGTGGTGTGCGAGAAGCGAATTGCTAAAATAAGTTCAAGTGGAGTGGCAGAGGCCCAGGCAGGCCCTGGATCGAGAAAAAGAATCTCAAGGGGCAGGAGTCTGAGAGACTCTTAGTGACAGGCAAAATCCAACACACAGAGTAAGGCAGCTTCAGAATATTGGGCATAAAGAACCGCCTGAAAGCTGCCAGGGAAGAAAGTCATGCATTTCCCACAAAGGTGCATGACTCTCTTCAGCTGGGGCCAGATGCCAAGGCCGGGGAGAGCAGTGCCCTCAGAGCTGAGGGGACACACCTGAGCCTGAGGGCCGTGGAGAGTTTGGGTGCAGCAGAGTGGGAGGTGGAGCAGCGGGCAGGGCTGAGAGGGTGGGAGCGTTTCCTCCAAGCCAGGCCTGGGTATTGGCCACCCACACTGCTCCCCTGGCTAGCTGCTGGCTTCTCCCTCCCTCAGCCCCAAGGCCTTTAGACCCCTAGCCTGAAGCAGCCCAGCTCAGCCAGGATTTCCGTATTTCAGCCAGGGCTAAACCTTCATCACTGCCTGCTCATCGACACCCAATCCCCCCAGCACCAGCCCCTCTCATTTTCCTAGCCAGGTAATAAGGAGGAGTTTCCCTAGAGCACCCAGTGAACTGCCCCCAACCAGACTGCTTCTGGCTGCAGCAGAGAGTGCTCAGCCCCAACGAATGACACCATTCATCAGGCATTTTACGATCTCTGACCATTCTTGTCTTTTGAAGACAAGGTCTTGCATTGTTGCCCAAGCGAGTGCAGCGGTGTGCTCAAAGCTCACTGCAGCCTTGAACTCCTGGGCTCAAGTGATCCTCCCACCTCAGCCTCTGGAATAGCTGGGGCCACAAGTGCATGCTACCATGCCCCGCTAACTTTTTATGTTTTTAGTAGAGATGGAGTTTCGCTATGTTAGCCAGGCTAGTCTCAAACTCCTGAGCTCAAGAAACTAACCTGCCGCCTGAGCCTCCCAAACTGCTGGGATTAAAGGCTGAGCCTCTGTGCCTGGCCCACTGGCCATCCAGAGGGCTTTATACCACAGCTTCAGCACAGTATTACACCTCATTTGCAGACAAGGGAAGCAAGGCACAGAGGTCAGGCAACCAGCCCAGGCTCCCTGTGCTGAGTAGTGGAGTTGGAATTCAGAATCAGGCAGCTTGACCCAGAGGTTGAGCTCTTGTTGCCACCCAGACCTGCTCCCTGCCGACCATTCCCTGGGAGGCCCTGGCTCCAACCCCACGGTATGAGGCTGCTTAGGGCTGAGGAGCTATGCTGCTTCCTCAGAGGCTGCCTCTGCACAACCTGGGGGCCTGGCTAAGCCCTGTGCCCTACCACATGCTGCTCTCCCCAGATGGCTCTCACCTGCCGATAGATCTTGCCCTTTTCCAGGCGGGTGATCCAGTCCCACTGAAGCGAGCCCTTCTCGTCGAGTTTTCTGAAAGGCCTGGGGTGCAGGTAAAGGGCCTGACTTCCAATCTGTGGCAGGGCCACAGGCCGTGCAACCCTTATCCCTCCACTGTAAAGGCCTACCTGCTCAAGTGGACCCATGCCAGCAAGGGGGTGTCCTCACCCCAAGCATACTGGGCAGTGGGCAAGGGCCACATTGGCCTCCTGCTTTATTCCCCTGCCTGGCCCTGCGACACCCCCCCAGGCCCATACTTGCGCCGGTCAGTGAAGAAGCTGGGCTTGTCCGCCTGGACGATGACCACATCGAAGAGCTGGCGCCAATCGGGACCCACCATGTGCCGCATCCCCTTGTCTCTGTGCAGAGGAGGTTCAGGTGGCAAGTGGTCTGAGGGTGGCTCTGTGCCTACCCTCCCCACCCAGGGCCCCGGCCCTGCTGTCCCTCCGTCCACAGGGGGCTGGACTCACACGAAGCTGAAAGGACTGTTGGTGATGAGGAACAGCTGTTTCCCATGGGCCACCAGGCGGCTCAGGACAGCAAACGTCTCATCCCCTCTCAGGATGTACTTTTCTAATGGGGCAGACGGGACTGTGAGGGCCAGCCCTGCCACCTGCTCAGGCCGGCCACGGCAGGGCTTCTGCCCACCCTTACCCATGTCCTGCTCGATCCACTGGTACATGAGGCCCTTCACATGCACGTCTCGGATGGCGTCCTGGGGGCAGTGGAGAATAGGTAAGGTGCAGTAAGGCCCAGGCAGACCTGTCCCGCTGTGGCTGGACTTAGCCGTCCTGGACATCTGAGGGCAGGCCTGGCATCCTCACCGTCACGTCCTTGTAGAGGTGCGCTTGGTCAAACTCCAGGCCGTGGCCCAGAAAGTAGTCCACCACACAGGACAGCAGAGCCATCTCTGGCAGTGAGAAGATGTCCATGAACTGCTTAATGGAGGGACCCTGCGGGGCGGGGGGGCGGGAGGGCGGAGGACATGGTCTCAGCCACCCTTTGGGGCCCCACCCCCTTCAGTGCTGGATATGAAGGCCCCAAATCTGCCCTGGGACATGGGCATGGCCCATGGGGCGGGCTGGCTGCTGCTGGGGTATGGAGTACCTTGCCGTAGAAGCCGCTCGTCTGGTACAATGGGATGTGCTGGGTGCCCCCATATAGCTCGATCACCTCCTCATCTGGCACAGGATGGAGGCCCCTGAGCAGATCCACAGACACCATCAGTCCAAGGCAGTCCTGAGCCCAGGCAGCAGCATAGGGTGGGGCAGGGCTGGAGACAGGGCAGAGCCAACTGACCTGTAGGCTGTCCCCAGCTGCACGTAGTGGTAGGCGTCAATCTTCATCAGGAGGCTCTGGGGACGCCAGGGATTCAGTTTCACCATACCCCAAGCCAGCCTCTTTCAGCCCATGTCAGAACCCCAGCTGGATGGTGCTGAGGGGAATGATCATACCAAGAAGAGGCCAAGGAGGGATCCCCTATACAGGTCCTGCCACTCACCTTTGGAATGTCATAGTGGAGGCCACGGATGGCAAAGCTGGGGTTGTAGTCATATTTCCGAATCCCCTCTGGGTACTGTTGGGGTAAAAGGGCCAGGCCTAAGCCAATAGCACTGTCAGACCTGCTGGCTGGATGGCCACCCCAGGGGGTCATCCAGCCACTTGTCCAGGGCAGCTGCCAGGTCAGAGGGCCAAGGGAGCCCCATGACTCAGCCCTGAGCTTAGGCCAAGGTGGGTCCTGCCAGCCTCCAGGCCCTGGTTGTGTTGGTGGCAAGGACCCCTCTCACCTTGTAGTGCTCAATCAGGATGTCGCGGGCAGCACAGAAGATCTCGGGGTGCAATGCGTCTGCATACTGGGCCAGGGTGTAGTCATAGTCAAAGCCATAGACCTCAACGTCACGTAGGCTGATCTCATTGTTGGCATAGATGGCTGCTGGGTTCAGGAGACTGCAGACCTCAGGCGGCAGGAGGTCTAGTGGAAGGAGATGCAGGGAGGCAGTGATGGGGATGATGAGCACTGCAGCAGCTATGGCTCCTGGGGATGCTGTGGGGGCCCAGCCCTGTGAGCCTCAGAAACACCCCACAATGGCAGCTCTTATTCCAGTGCTGCAGATGGTCAAACAGGCCCAGGGTCACAAGGTTAGGGTAAGGTGGAGTTGGCAG